AGACAAAAAACATGTTTTAACAGTGTTAATAACAAACAGAGTTGAAAACGTAAATTGGCCACCGAGAAGAGTAAAAAAAGCTGACGTTTCGAGCGTTAGCCCTTCGTCGGAGCGATTGGAGGAATTGTGGGTTGTGTGTGGGTTTCTATACAGAAGGTGGAGCTACGCTATTGGTGGGAGTATGGTGACGAGAAAACGAGAAAAATTAGTTGAATGAAAAGCACTCGTTGATACCGTGGGAATCAAGTGCCGATTTCGAAGATAATTTTTTTTTTAATGTTTTGCGGCTTTCCGAACTGCCTAGAAGTTAGGAAAGGCCGAAAACTGTAGGTTTGTAGTAAAACACTTGTTCTTAAACCGTTGCCTTCAATTGAAATCTTGATGTCTAGAAAAGCCAAAGATGAGTCGGAAATTTCCCAGGTATATTTAAGAGCCGGGTGAAAGGAATTGACGGCGGTTATACATTGAGTGAGCTCCTCTCTGGTAGAGGAGGTAGCGCCGATGCAGTCGGCAATGTAACGGCCGTTGAGTTCAGGTTTGGGGCCGTGGTATTGACTAGAATACTAATGTTCGATAAAACCAACGAAAAGATTTGCGTAGCTGGGTCCCATTTGAGTACCCATAGCCACGCCATTAGTTTGTTTGTAGTAGTTACCACCGAATGTAAAGCAATTGAGTGTAAGTACTAGTTCGGTCAAACGGAGTAGTGTTTCAGAGCTAGGTTCCTCAACAGTGCGATGATCGAAAAAATGTTTGAGGGCCCGGAGACCTTCATCGTTGGGAATGACAGTATAAAGATATTCAATTTCCATTGTGAAAATAAGTTTGTTTTGGCCAAGGAAATTAAAGTCACGGAAAGTTTCAAGTCCGCGTTGGCTGTCCTTAATGTAAGATGGCAAAGTTTTGACGATAGGTGTCACAGTTTTGTCCAAATAAGTTCGGTGGGACAGCTGCAAGCGGAAACGATGGGTCGACCTGGGTTGTTAGGTTTGTGGATTTTAGGTAGAAAGTAATTACACGAAGCTCTAGGAGTGGTGATGGTGAGATTTTTAGCAGTGGCCGGCAATTCTTGTTTAGCTATGAGATGATTAATCGCATTTTTGACAATGTTTTGGTTATTAAAGTGAGATCTTTGTCTACTTTAGCAATAAAAGGAGGTGCCAGAAAAATGCCGCAAAGCTTCTTTTTGACAGAGGTCGGCCCGCCAAACAACAACCGCGCCGCTTTTGTCGGCCGCTTTAATGACTATGTCATTGCGTTTTTCCTAGTCATTCTTAACAATATATGGCAATTTGCGGCCTTTCCTTACATCTGGGCAATTCCGAAAGCCGCAAAACACTAGAACAAAAATTTATCTTCCAAATTGGCACTCTTAATCCCCACGGTATAAACGAGCTCTTTTCATTAAACTAATTCATTCTTGTTTTCTCGTCACCACACTCCCACCAACAGCAGAGCTCCACTTTCTGCATATAAACTCACACACAACCCGCAATTCCTCCAATCGCTCTGACGAAGGGCTAACGCTCGAAACGTCAGCTTTTTTTGCTCTTCACGGTGGCGGCATCTTCAACTTAGTTGTTTACACCAAATTACCTGCTATAATCTCCCACCGACGCAGCACCACAGTTTCTTTAGAAACTTACCCCCCATATTCATTTAGCATCAAACCATGTCTGATTGTCCACCTGGTTGCCATGTGAACTTTAATATAGAATATTGTGTAGTTTGCGAAATGCGAAAGCCTGAAATTTGGAAAAGTGCCATTTTCATTCACCTCCTGCAGTGCAAATATTTGAGTGCTTTGAAGAGGTTGCGTACTTTCGCCACATGAAAATGAAGTGTAAACAAAAATTATCAAGGTGCTATCGTTTTTACTTCAAAATATTAACTGTATGAATGACAATGCCAACTGATAAACTTAAAAAAAAATTACCCAGAAAAAGTCATAGTTTCAAATGCTATTTAACACTAGATGACTTGTTTCCAGAGTTTATCTGGAATGCTACTCTGTCTTTTTCAGGTTCACTGCCCGCAGCTTTTAGAGCAATTTTCAAATGAGAGTTAAAGTTAGGGATTAATTAGGTTTTCTATTCTTTCGC